CACATCCCTAACCAGCTTCAAAGTCGAGTTAAAGACCACACTGTTTAGGGAAGCGTTCTCAGGGAGTCTGTGATCGTGGCCTGGTTGTTCCTGATGCGTGACTTAATATTGGATATTTGATGTGTTAATTTGTTTTTATGATGTTTTAATTTGTTGTTTTAACTTTTAGATTGTACGCCACAGGCAGGGTTTTTATATATTCTGGATTTTACTTGGTTCTGTACAGCACCGTGTACATCTACGGCGCTTAATAAATAAAGCTAATAATAATAATAATAATAATAATCCTTGCCACTGACTATTCTGACTAGGGCTGCTAGGCCTTGAAATCTGACAATAACTGGAGGACTGCATGATCCTCATGCCTCAAGGTGTCAACACTATGGAATGCTTGAGAGCCAAAAATTATAGAGTTGGAAATAATCCTGGATCCCTTTACAGTTAATTTTAAAACAAGACAGCACCATTAGTCTTTGTTTTAAATGCCTGCCAGAATGAAAAAGGTTTTGCCTGCTGATGGAAACCTGACAGCAATAGGGGGCATTCTAGCCTCCCTAGGAAGGCAGTTCCAGAATCCAGGGGCAGCCACTGAGAAGGCCCTCTCTCGTGAGCTTGCAATGGTTATGGGATTGAGAGAAGGGCCTTTCATGATTATCCCCATGCCAAGGCTAGCTCATACAGGGGGATATAGTCTGCTATATGCACAGGCCTTCTGTTATTAAAAGCTGAAAGAAAGAAGGACGGATGGCAGGCTGTTGTTGTTGTTAACTGCCCTCAAGTCGATCTCAACTGATGGCAACCCTATGCATGAGACACCTCCAAGACTCCCCTCTGTCCTCCACTGCTCTGCTTAATTCCTGCAACCTCTTAATACCCATGACCTCCTTAATAGAGTCCATCCATCTGGCATGTGGCCTTCCTCTCTTCCTACTACCCTCCACCTTTCCCAGCATTGTTGTTTTTTCCAAGGAGTCTTTCCTTCTCATGATATGTCCAAAGTACGACAATCTGTTTGGTCATCTTGACTTCCAGAGAGGTTTCTGCTTTGATCTGCTGTAGGATCCATTTGTTTGTCCTTTGGGATCCTCAACACTCTTCTCCAGCACCACATCTCAAAGGAGTAGATTTTCTTGCTATCATCTTTCTTAACTGTCCAGCTCTCACATCCATACATGGTAATAGGGAAAACAATGCCTTGTATGATTCTAACTTTTGTGCTGAGTTGTATATCTTTGCATTTTAGGATTTTTTTCTAGTTCTTTCAAAGCCACCCTCCCCATTCTTAATCTTCTTCAGTCACAAACAGCACTTTGAATTGTGCCTGGAAACAAACAGGCAGCCAGTGAGCTGTTTCAACAGGGGCAGTAGTATAGTCTCTGTAACCTGCCCTAGTTAATCCTGTGGCTGCAGCTCTTTGGACCTGATCCTGTGCCTGAAGTGTATCCCTGAAACACAGCCATAGTCACTTTCCCCTTTCCAGGGCTGGCAACCCTGGAGTGAAGCTCTGGATCATGGTGGAGCAAGTGGAAAAGTCATTTGCAAAAGATGAGACGGATGCCTTTTTCTTCAGCCCAGAGCTTTGAAAAGCTTCTTTTTCTTTTAAGACTACACATGCCAGAATCCCCAGCCAGCATGGCCACTGGGAGAGTTGGTTAATGGGCCACATTTCCTAAAATTTCCCTTCAAGTTGTTTTCAACTTATGGCGACTGTAAGGTGGTGAACCTACCATGGGTGTTTCTTGGTAAGATCTGTTCAGAGGGGGTTTGTCATGGCCCTCCCCTGAGGCTGAGAGTGTGTGGCTCGCCCAAGGTCACCCAGTGGGTTCCCTCTTGACCCAAGTCACCCACTTCCTAGGACCTAGGTTTGATTTAACTTGGTTTGAAAAACACAAAGTCCAAAAGCATGGGACTTCCTACTCTCTCCTTTGGCTCCAAGAAGGAGACAGGGATCAGTGCATCCACTCTCTTCAGGGTGACTAGATAGCCTCCCCTTCCTCCCCCCCCCGGACCTGTCCTACATTCCAGCCTTGTGACTGAGAAGCATGAAGCATGGAGGGCTTTAAACAGAGGCTGGGTGGCCATCTGTCAGGGGTGCTTTGATTGTGGGTTCTTCACCTGGCAGAATGGGGTTGGGTTGGGCTGGGGGGGGTTCTCTTCCAACTCCCTATGACCCACAGGAGGGGTATGAGCTTGTCTTATGTCATGTCCTCCACTTTTCCCTTGCATGCCCTCTGCTCCACAGTGCCTCGTCCTCCTTTGCAGGGAGGTCACCCTGGAGTGGGAAGCAGGGCTCTTGTGCCACCTTCCACCCTTCTTCTCCCAGAAGAGCAGTGGTTTCCCACGGTCCCTCCTCCTCCT